AGAGACACAAAGTCGGAGACTTTGATGTTATCACAGGTTGAGTACATCAACAAAGCACTCTCCAGGTTCAACATACAAGATGTTAAACCAGTAAGTATACCTTTAGGTGTTCATTTTAGACTCTCCAAAGAACAGTCACCAAAGACGGAGGAAGAACGTGCACACATGGTGAAGGTGTCGTATGCCTCAGTAATTGGAAGTCTGATGTATGCCATGGATTGTACTAGACCAGATATTGCTTATACAGTGGGAGTTGCTAGCAGGTACATGAATAATCCAGGCAAGGTACATTGGGAAGCAGTCAAATAGATCCTCAGATATTTGTAAAGTACCACAAACAAAGCACTTTGTTTCAAAGGTGGAGATGCGATACTGACAGGCTATGTAGATGATGACTTAGCCGGAAATATAGATATCAGAAGGAGCACTACAGGGTATGTCTATACTCTATGAGGTACTGCAGTGAGTTGGGTTTCTCAACTACAGAAGATAGTTGCTCTCTCCACAACTGAAGCAGAATATGTCGTTGTTACGGAAGTCATCAAAGAGATGGTTTGACTCTAAAGTTTCTTGGAAGAGTTAGGCAAGAAACAAGAAAACAATGTCTTGTATTGCGATAGTCAAAGTGTTATCCATCTAGCGAAGAATCCGTCTTTTCATTACAGGACGAAGCACATACAATTGCAATATCATTTTATCCGGTCTCTTCTAGAAGATGGGATTTTGAAACTTGAAAAGATTAGTGGAGCTCAAAATCCGACAGACATGTTAACAAAGACGGTGACTACGGACAAACTGAAGTTGTGTTCAGCTTCAGTTCCATGCTAGAGTAACAAGACCAGAAATGTTGTTGCATTGATCGAGGTGTGAAGACAGATTAAAATTAGTCTTCAAGTAGGAGATTGTTGGAAGACAAAATTGGGGGGCTAGAAGTCAAAATTGGGGGGCACCGAATTCGGTGCATTTAATTTTGTTATTTTTTGGCATGGGATAACTACACTTTAGTCCCTACACTTTAAGGTATTTTCAAGATTAGTCCTTAAGCTTCAACTATAAATACCCTAACCCATTTAACTTCAAAATCATCACAAATCATTTCTTTCTCCCAATACTAAAGAGTTTAAAGAGTTTTCTTATGAGTTGTGAGTGTTTTATAAACACCTGTAAATTTTCTCTCTTTAGTAAAAGATTTGCAGCAGTCTGGAGACGTAGGCATAATTGGTCGAACTCCGTTATCAATTTCGGGTATTATTTTTCCACTTTTATTTCTCATTCTCACTAATATGGTTATAGGGAAATTACTTGTTTATTTCCCAACATTTATGAGTTCCGACTGCATAATACTTGAAGCTTTCAGGTCAGCTTGGACGCACTACACCAAAACTATTCTACAGCGACGTTTTAAGAGTAAACGCCACTAATTTTAAACATATAACGGCATTTACATTCCAAACGCCACAAAATGGTAACTTTAGCGGCGTTTTTATACAAAATGCCGCGATAGAATAGTACTTTAGCGGCGTTTTTATACAAACGACGCAATAGGTGCACACATAGTGGCATTGTTTCAACAAACGCCGCTATAAACTCGTACATTAGTGGCGTTTTTATACAAACGTCGTTAAAGACTCATTTTGTAGTGGTGTTTTATAAAAACGTCGCTAAAGACATGTGTTTTAGTGTCGTTTTTATACAAACGCCGCTAAAGACTCATACTTTAGCGGCGTTTGTATATAAACGCCGCTATAGACTCTTGTTTTAGTGGCTTTTTTTAAAAAAAAAAACGCCTCTAAAGACTCGTGTTTTAGTGGCGTTTTTATACAAACACCACAAGTTTACATTTTTTAAATCCCACCACCCTTTAACCCTTTTTCATTTTTCTCACTTCACATATTTTTTATTCCCGCCGAAGTTAAACATAAACACCTAAACAAAGTATCTTTCTTTAAAAATTGAAACCCAATGGATATGGAGAAATTGAGCGAGCTCAAGAAGAGGAGTAAGAGTAGGTCGCCTCTTCGAGAAGGGAAGTCGGAGCGGAGGAGGAGTTAGTCGCCGCGGGAGTCATGGAGGTCTGAGATGCATGGGGCGAGAGAGGGTAAATCCAAGAAGGGGAAAAATGGCAATGTTGATTATTCGCGGTAGTATGGTATGGTATGAAGTCTTGTTGTTGAAAAGATATATCTTGGTGGAAAGGTTTACACCCATTCTTTTTTTCTTTTGCATTTTCATTTCCATTTTGCATTGTTGAATTGGGTCTTTAGTTTTGGGTTGAAACGAATTTGATTATGCAATATCGAGAAATTTAACGAAATGGGTTTCATTGGATCTATGCATTCCTTACTTGGTCAAATTGTTTTTACACATTTTGGTAAGCTGGGAGAATTCCCATTTTATTGTTTGCATTTTGATTGTTGAATTGGTTTTCTTAGTTTTTCTTGGAAAATAATTTCTTTTTTCTCTCTTGATGATGGGTGGAATTTTGGTTTGATTCAAAGTTGAATTGAACTTAATTCCGCAATATGACAATATCTAGACTTTGACGAGATGGGTTTCATTTGATCTTCCTTGTTTGGTTTAATAAATGCTGGATTTTACATATTTGGTAAGCTGGGGGAGTTTCCATTTCTGTGTATTATATACATAAAAGCAATAATTTTTGGCTTCTTTTTAACCTTCTTTGACCTTTTTTAACTCTGCTATGGTAAAATCCTATTTTGTATGTTTACTTGTGTAATTCTCTGATTTTTGTTGTTACTTTTGCCTTGCCTTTGGAATTATCTGCTTTTACTTTTGGTTTCTTTGATCGGTTGGAGATTCTTTCCTTCTTACTTTGTTGTTGCTTGATCGGTTAGGTATTAGGATAGTGGATTCTTCCAACTATTCAGTCATTGGGATTATTAAACTTGATGTTTGCAGCTCGTTGAAGAAACCTTGGCTGCACCTTTTTCAATTGTTTTTCACTTTTATTATATTATTATTTTAAAATTGTCTAGCAGTAAATTCACATTTTCTTACATGTCAATGTCTTCTTTTAATGAGAGAGGTTCCATCATCCCATCCTCTCCCTTTATACTATAATCTACCTTTTTTGAAGAATACAATGATTAATATCATGAACCACTCATTTCATTTATCTGTCTTTTATTCTTTTATTTATTCTTTTAAATCCTTTACAAAGCTATGTTCAGTTGGATTTCACAAGAAGGCTAATTTTTTAAAAAAATATATATAATAATTTAAAATTTTCAAAGGACGATTGCTCTACTATCTCCTTCAACTTATAATGTTCAAACTTTAGTACTCGTCAAGTAATTTATATGTTATTCAATGACAAACAGTTTTTTTCCCTCTCAAAAACTAAAATACTCTTTTGTTTTGTTCAAAGGAAGGTTGAGGTGAGTGAGTTGTAATATTTTTCTAAAAAAATAATAATATCTTATGGTAGTTACTCTTAAACAATAAATTTTGGCTCAGATTCTTATTCCCAGTTTATATCAAGAGAGAACATAATAATGGTTCGATTTTACTATTCATTTGTGTTTAAGGTTTAGATTTTTTGTATAAGATTTTTTCTTGATTAAACCTAAGATGATTACAAAGTAATATTTGTTCTAAATACTCTAAATCATTTAACAATGATCGTCCAATCACTCTTGCAATCGCTAATGCTTAACTCATGATCTCTAGAAACAACAACGATTCTTTTAATTACTGAGTTAAATTGGTTTGTGTAGATTTTTTTATAAGATTAAACCAGTTTGGTTAAATGGTATATGATCATGTCCTCATTTTTTTTGAAAAAATAAATACAAATCTCAAATTATTTTTACATTTAATGTGACTCTTTGAATTAAAAAAAATTAATGTAATTCTTTAATCGACGGTTTTTGACATTGGTCATTTTGATACCAATGTAATTATTTACGGTGACGATGTAACGGTATAATTATGATATGGTGGCTGATGAGTTCATGTAATAGTTGATAAGTCTAATTCATATGTATTTCACGAAATAAAATCAGTTTGGGTTGGCACCTAGTAGAGATGATCTTTCAATGTTCTATCTCAATTCTCAAGAGAATCTGATCATACAAACCACAATTTGCTTGACAGAATCCGATCCCTAACAATGATTTTTTCTTTTCTTTTCCTTTTTTTTTGTTCATTTGATAGTTTTTAAAATTCTTCCAGCACGTAATGAACGTCCGATTCAAATCTTCCAAACCAGAAGCATAATCACCAACAAAGAGACGCCAAAACCTCAAAAGCACTTCATCCATCTGACAAAACCCTAAAAGAAGAAGTGGCTCCCTCCCCACCCCACCATTGTTAGTGAAACAGCAACCCACTGTTTCAATATTAAAACACTGTACCATCTTTTCCCATTCAACATTAAACTAATTTCCATGCCATTACATAAACTTATTATATTCAACTATGGCAGACAGTATATATATAAAATTTATTCCATATCTTTGCCTGGCACCTAGGAAAAAGTATATCACTCACAAGAATTAATTCCTGGGCAACAAAAACTTATCAATTTAGAAAGATAAGTTCGGTATAATTGTTGCCACTAATACAGGTTGCTTTGCTTACATGAGGATGCATTAACAGTTTTTGTAGTGCATATTTGGAAATGCTTTTCCTGCTTGTTAATTAATTGAAGATCTTGGAGACTTGTCAAAACATTTTTGATGTTTTTAAAACATAAAACAATGCAATGATGGACAACAGCTGTTACCATGTCCATAAGTTTGACTTTGTTAGACGCTGTCAAAGCCACTATTACATTGATCTGTGGGGAGTTCTTGGACTCTGATTGGACCACCATGGCAGACAGGGACTATTCATCTCTCTCATCTTAATATTGCTGCTGTTGTCACACATTTAAACAACTTAAGAATACAAATATATTTATTGCAATCTAAGATCATGGTGTCTCTCTAGACTTTAGGCCCACATCTTTTGTAATATTATAGGGTTTTTTTCCACGTCTTTCATGTGATTTACAGTGCCTAAGCTTTATTTGCATGTATTTATATGCAGCATATCCCCTCCTTCATTTCCATTGTCCCAATTCCCAACACATTTTTGTCTGTATGTGTATCTAAGTTGTGAACATGAAGCAAAGCTTTCTTTCTAGTCTTCTTCTTCTCTTCTTAGTGTTTCTTTACTCTTCTTCCCATTTATCTTCTCGTCTCATTGCAGACAAACCAGGTGAGTCTGTCTTTTGTCTCTCAGATCCTTTTACTAAGCAATGAACCTAAAATTCATTATCTTCTTCATATGCAGGAAAAGAAGAGGTAGAGCTTACTCAAATCACATATATGGAAGACACTGAAGTGATGAATGTAATTTTAACCTATTTCCTTCTTCATCAACTTTGATCTCTATCCTATAATATTTTGGCTAAATATTTGATTTTCCCCCCCAATGCTTTGCAGCAACTATTTGGGGTAGAAGCTTGTGATACTGGAGATGATGAGTGCTTGAGGAGAAGAATGATCTCAGAGGCTCACTTGGACTATATTTACACCCAGCACCATAAACCTTGAAGAGACTACTACTGCATGTATATTATTATCATTACATAAACTAAGGATTTGAAAAAAATATGTCTGCTTTTGTTCCGTGTATAATTAAGCTCTTCTGGTTAAGGTTTATGATCGTATGTATGCTAGTCTAAGCTTAAATATGATGATTAATGTAAGAATTAAACCCTAATTATGTAGCTAAATGGTTTTATTTTGAATCTATCTATTTTGGTGACTATGGGATTAAAAGAAATTAAATAGAGACAGTTGGGGGGATTTAGTGACAGATTTCAACTGCATTTGTTCACCTTCAGCAGTTGAAAGTTCAATGTTTTGGCCTAGCAGGGGCTGAAATTGCAGATTCAACAGCTTGCATTAAATATCTTTCGACTGTCATAAATATCAGTACTTCAAATTGTGTTATGCTGTTGAAGGAAGAAGAAACAAAACAATGACAGCCTCTTGTACAAACCAGGTAATCAAACAGGTTTACAAGTTGTCAACATACACAAATATGGAAGGGATTAATATTAATCAAGTAATAACAACTTTGCTTCTGCTCTACCTTGCAAAAACAAGTTCATCCATTTTCAGGCAGAATGATTAAAAAGCAGGTGAAATCATGATAGGGTCCATTGCTGTTGATTGATTGATATGATAAAGTGTGCAATTCATGGAAGAATAACTATTGTTTATTTGTTATTGTATGAATGGATGATTGAGGGGCACAACTGTAATTATCTGCTCTGAATTGGGCACAAAATGCGTACAAATCCTTGTCCACAATAGTCCGCTGATGCACTAAGCCCGGGCCAAGTGCATCTCATTATTTTATAAAATTGATTAAATTTAATTTAATGTGTTAAGAAAAAAGAAAAAAAAATTACAATTTTTGTATACTTATTATTTTTAAGAAAAGAAAATTAAAATTTTAGACCTCTATTCTTAAATTTCTGGATCCGCCACTGGTCTACATCTCAGTCCGTCTGATAATTGGCTACAGTGTAAACCAGATTTATAAGCTATTTCTTCTTAATTGGCTACAGAGTAAACCAGATCATTCCCAAGTTCCAACCAATCAAGAGAGGTTTGTTAATGCTAAATCGATGCTTCACTAGGAGATGGCTCTATTCTTTTATGTTGCAATTTCAATGGCTTCCTCGTAAATGTGCCCTGTTGCAGTATGTTTGAGTATTTAGGTGGAATTCATCGAGCGTTTTAGCGGTTAAATAGAATGTTATTTCTTTTTAGAGGTCTTGAATTTGAGTAGCTGTATTGTAGGGTGTGTATGTATTATCAATGACTAAGAAAGTTTATAAGCAGATATTATCTTATGATCACTTAAATTATTAAAAATTATATTTAGGTAAATTTTGCCATGTAGTTTACGCTACAGATATCCGGGGTGCTAAAAAGGTTGATAATACAGTCCCTTAAGTCAAAACAAAGTTGCTGCAAATTAAATTTGAGTGTGATTAAATCAACAACCGCTTGAAGTGGTTCTAATGAGATGAGGTACTAAATTCTTTAAACAATGTGAGATGTTTGAATCTTGACGATTGTGAAGGAAGTAAATTGGGCTGAGAAAGTCGGCCTAATAGACCTATGCAAAACTAAATCTAGATTAGTTAATCAATAGATTGAATACTCCTTTATTCTTATACATTTTCTGTTTATGGAAACTTGATGGTGAAGAGGCGAGACTTGCTGGCTATTTTGATATCATTGCTGGGACATGCCCTGGTGGCCTCATCAATACCACGATTTCCGCCCCGAACCAGAAGAATCGTCCTCTTTATGCTGCAGAAGATATAAAGGATTTTTATCTTGAACAAGGTCCTATAGTTTTTCCCACAAAACAGGTAAGTAAATAGTCATAAGTTCATTCCTAGCATAAAATTATGCTGCGGTATCTGAATAGTATTGCGAAATTTGATGAGTATTTATCTTTCCTGGAGCAGATTGATTGTAACTGTAAGCAGTATTATTGTCTGAAAGACAGACTAGTGTTAGGTTAACCTGTTGAGTTATGATTCATGGTGATGGTTTGAGTTTTCTACACATTTTTAGGCTTATTAACAGTGGATTAAATTTAGCGGAGTTTGTTCATGTTTAAAAGCTAAACATTAGTAGATTTGGAGGTTGAATTTTGACTTGTGAAAACGAATTGTGTGTATAGGGTTAAATTTACTGTTGTAATTTAGGGTCTCCTCTATGCGTAGGTAGCATTGTGCGGTAGATTTTGCAATTATTTCTGTAACTGAGACGGATTCAAGCTCAGGGGTCGTAGTCCTTCTACTCTTACTTGTATTTTAATTTTATATGATTTCTTTGTTTTTAGTCCTTTTAATTTCCAATTTCTCTGAATTTAATCCTGTATGTCATTTATTATTATTATTATTAGTTATTACTACTAATACATGTCTTTTTTTCATTTATTTAAAAAAAATACATCACATAGTGAAATCCAAAGGCATGCTCGGGAGGATCGTAATGAAATCTGAAACATTGCTTGGAAATTTGACGGTCTTCATCGTATTAAGCAATTTGTTTGGCTGGCTCTTCGCAGCCGGTTAATGACAAATCTCGAACGCAAACGGAGAGGCCTCACGTCTGATCACCAATGTCCGGTGTGTAAGAATGATGAAGAAACTGTCATTCACGTGCTTGTTCCAAATTATCTTGCGCCAAATTTTTTTCTCTGCCTCGCTGTGATTGGTTAAAAGACAATCTTAGTATTAATTCCAAGCTTGACCATACGGAGTTCTATTGGAGACACTTGTTCGGCATCATCATATGGAGATTATGGAAAGAAAGGAATAATTTGATGTTTAATGGTCAAATCTGGTCGGCAATCGGCATGGTCTTGGGCTCGTATGATCCGAAAGTACCCTCATGGAACTGATAAGAACATGAGCTATAGAGGGAGGAAGCCTATTTGGAAACCTCCCAAAGCAGGGGTGATCAAACTCAACACAGACGGGGCGATCAATCAAGGAACGATGGAGGCAGCCAGCGGAGCAGTTTTCTGAGATAACACAGGTTTGTGGATTTCTGGTTTTTGCAGGAAATTGGAAGATGTTCGGTCCTTCATGCTGAACTTTATGCAATACTTGACGGCCTATCCATCGCATGGGATCGAGGAGTTAAACAAGTGGAAGTGAATACTGATAATAGTGAAGTAGTTAGATTGTTAAACGCTTGTGGCCAGCTGCATGAATCTACTATTATGCTTTGTATCCGAAGTCTGCTCCAACTTCATTGGAAAATCAAGATCAACTATGTGAAAAGAGAGACGAATAGCGTTGCTGATGACTTAGCACATCTTGGTCTTGGTCATACTAAGGATTTGGGACTCATGATCTTGGCTCATCCGCCGAATGGAATTCAATGTCTACTGTCTAAAGACATGGCTTTTAGCCATATGGTTTAATCACTGCTTTACGGTCTACTTTTGTAACCAAAAAAAAAATCTAAAATAATTGGATTATGATATTTTTATTATTCGTAATAAAATAACATCTTCTGCAAAATTGAGTATTTTTTCTTATATTTTCGAAAATCAATAAAAATAATTTCTTTTTATAAAGGTTTACTTCTCCAGTCTATTATACATTCATTTAAGGGTTTACATTTCAAAATTAAATTCATATTCCTAATTTTTAAAAAATTAGGGCAACATATGATTTTAGAAATGTATCAATTTTTTTTACGTCGTGGGGGGTATTATCACAATTTTTACTATGATCTTTCCAAAATTATCTTTCTCGAAAAGAATATTTTCAAAAAACTTTTCAAGAATATAATTTTATGAATATTCGATCGTACCCAACTCAAAACAACCTACGAAGACTCTAACTTTTAGAAAAACCTAAAAATGGTTTTAACAAATAAATCATAGAATTAATATACAATACCACAAGTGTTACGTGTAGTAATAAAGTTTATAATACTTTTAAAGAAAAACAATTAAATTTAAATTTTGAAAATAACATGATCTCATGAATATAAAAACATACCTAAAAGATAAAAATTATGTATTCAACAAATTTAATGATCGATTCTTACCACCTGCAACTTCATCATTTCTTACTTCTAAATTATGATATTCTTTATGTATGATGCCAACCTGACCTTAACATGAGATAGAGTGTTTTCTAAAGAAAAATGGCCCAGTAACAATAGTAAAGCAAAGTCAATGAAAATGAGAAATGAAGAGCAAGAGATTGCTTTCAGATTTGAAACCTGAAAAGCAAAAAGGCAGAGTCTATGTTTTAAGTGATTGAAAACAGCCAGCTGCCTAACAAATTTCAACCAAGCTTTATGTTAATGTTGTAAGGGACACCCATCACAGCAATAGCAAGTAGCAACCACGCCCAGCCACACATAATTTGCCCCATTCAATCATTTCCGGTGCTCGAAATATTATCCAATATTCGAAAGGATTTAAACAATAATGCAATCAACATGAAATTTTATGGGTAAAAAAAAATTACGGTGAAGGTCTTATTGTTAAGTTATTTATTTAAAATTATTGACAGATTTTTTTTAAATCCTAGGTTTTTCAATCCTTATGCTGCTTACTTTTTTTATATATTTATTTAACCTGTGGTCAACAATTAAACATCAATTTTCGTATTGATTGTCGAGCATCGATATTCCTTTTTTTTTCCTCTTTATTTTCTTATACCATATCTTTGATTCTTCTTTATTTTTTTAAATTTTAACAACTCTGCATTTTGGCACTTTTTCGGTCTTCTTTATCAATCTTTTGACCGTCATTTTCATTTATATTTTTCTTATGATTGGACTTGACGTCGTCTAGATTGGTCAAGATTGCGTTTATTTGTTATTATGTTGATCTTTCTTGTTTTGGACCCTTAGATTGAATCTACATATGTGATTGCATTCGTGGATAGTTTTCTCACATCATTCGACTCTTATTTGTGATTTGTTGGTGATCTTTCGGTAGTTTGATCCTCTTTTGTAATTCGTTTTTTGATGTAATCAAATTCGTATCTATTTTTGTTCAAGTTTTTTTGTTGAGTTCTTAACATTTTTCTCATATGGTCCTATTATGATCTTAAGTAGTTAGTTTCTTGTATCGATTGTTACGATAAAATGTTCTAATTATATGTTTAGTCTATTGTTATGATTGCAAACTTTTATTGCAATTTTAGATATTTGCTGACTTTTATTAGAAAATAAGTATTAA